CTAAATTCTATTCAACCTGCTAGATCTTGAGTAAAGTATTTCTTTATCTAAAACAAGGGTTCCCAACCCCCAGGCCATGGACCAGTACCAGTCTGTGTCCTATTAGAAACCAGGCTGCACAGTGGGCACGGTGGCACACACCTATTATCCCAGGACTTTGGGAGGCAGAGATGGGTGGATCACCTGAGGTCAGGAGTTCAAGACCAGCCTGGCAAACATGATGAAACCCCATCTCTACCAAAAATAGAAAAATTAGCTGAGCGTGATGGCAGGCGCCTGTAATCCTAGCTACTTGGGAGGCTGAGGCAGGACAATCACTTGAACCTGAGAGGCGGTGGTTGCAGTGAACTGAGATTGTGCCACTGCACTCCACCCTGGGTGACAAGAGTGAAACTCCATCTCAAAAAAAAAAAAAAAGAAAGAAAAGAAACCAGGCTGCACAGCAGGAGGTGAGCAGCAGGCCAGTGAGCATTACCACTGAGCTCCACCTCCTGTCAGATTAGCAGCGGCATTAGATTCTCACAGGAACGTGAACCCTATTGTGAACTGTGCATGTGAGGGGTCTAGGTTGCATGTTCCTTATGAGAATCTAGTGCCTGATGATCTGAGGTAGAACAGTTTCATCCTGAAACCATCCCTCCCCTTGATCATCAGTGGAAAAATTGTCTTCCACAAAACTGGCCCCTGGTGCCAAAAAAAGTTGGGGGCTGCTAATCTGGAAAATGCTCCTTGACATCTCAAGTTAAAGTTAGGCATCCTTTCTAGGTATTTCCATAGCATCAGTGCTTACTCCTATCTGAGGACTTTGCACTTGTATTGTAATTACTTGTTGAATTATTTATATCCTCTCACTAGGCAATGAGCTACTTAAGGACAAGAGCTATGTCATGTCCATCTTTATATCCCCAATGACTAGCACTATGCCTAGCACCTATTAGGAACTCAATAGATAATTGTTGAATGAATAAGTGAATGAGTGATTGAAGTATTCATAGGGTATTAAAGAACACAGAGAAGAGACACCTAAAGAGACTTCCTGGGAGAGGTAGCTGCTAGGGGAAGTTATAAATGGTTAAGTCTGAATTATCCAGGATTAGGCTGGTTGGACAGTAGAGAGAGACATTCCAAGCAGAAGGATAGCATGATAAAAAGAAACCCACAAAAAAAAAAAACAAAAGAGGCATGCCAGAAAATGCCCAGCAACACGTGAAGAGGGCACATGCTAAGGCAGCCACAAGGTCATGAGGGATGGAAGGTTCCAACCAAACCAGACTCAAACTCCATTCTTCCCTTTGTTCCCATCCAAATAAAAGAATGAAGACACAGATTGGAGAAGTCCTAGAAGCTGATCTCCAGGATTTACATACTTGTCACCAACATATTACATAGTCCCCAAGTCACAAACCATGCCAAAAACTCTCCTTTGACACAAGAACTATGTCTTACCCTGCCCTGTGAGGTTCAGTGCATGGAACCCTCCAGGGGAAAGGTGCCAGGTCATCTTAATACACTTCTTGCAGAAGGTTTCTGTCTCTTATTACAAATGGTGGTAAAACACCTTGTTCGCTTTGGTAGGCCCAGTTTTCCTCTGCCCAGCTTCTTCCTAAAACCTAGCTCCTTTCGTTCAACCTGAGAAACCCTTAGGAGAGCATATTGCCTTATTTATCCTTACTCTGCTGTTTTTTGTTTTTTTGTTTTTTGAGATGGTGTCTCACTCTGTTGCCCAGGCTGGAGTGCAATGGCATGATTTCGGCTCACAGCAACCCCTGCCTCCTGGATTCAAGCAATTCTCCTGCCTCAGCCTCCCAAGTAGCTGGGACTACAGGTGTGTGCCACCATGCCCGGCTAATTTGTGTATTTTTTAGTAGAGACAGGGTTTCACAATGTTGCCTGGTCTCGAACTCCTGACCTCCAGATCCACCCCACTCCACCTCCCAAAGTGCTGGGATCACAGGTGTGAGCCACCGCACCAGGCCCATTGTCTTTTTAAATATTAATTTCAGTGATTTCATCATTTACATTCAATGCAACCAATGTCCTATTTAAGGTGATTCCAGAGCTTCAGTAAAACATCTCTGATTACCCACTTCAAGTAAGAAATTCTAAGAAGATCAGCTGATAGAGTTCAGTCATTGATTAATTCAACAACTATTTAACACATCTGTGTCAAGCACTATGCTGGAGTCTGGAAATTTAAAGATGAATGAGAAATGGTCTCTACCCTTAAACCGTCTGCAGTGTGGAGGAAGCTCTAGGATGGGGAAATTGCTTATGTGGGGAAGTGCTGAGGCCACTGCTGACCTGCCTAAGCCAGCACTTCAGGTTTATGCAGGTCCCTGGATCAGCAGCACAAGCATCACCTGGGAACTTGTTAAAAATGCACATACTTGGGCTTTTCGCACAAACCTAATGAATCAGAATAAGAGAGTGAGGCCCAGCCACCTAGTTTTTAACAGGCCCTCCCAGGAATGCTGAGGCTCACTTTGGTTTGGGAATCTCTGGTCTAAGCTCTGTTCTGAATCACACCAGGCCAATATGGAGGGTGATTAGCCATTCCCAGGCTTCTTCTTTACGATCCCCCCTTCTCCTTTCAGGATATTAATGGGAAACATCAATCCAGAGTGACCACCCAAAATGAAGTAAAAATACTATTTTCTCACATAATGGCAACACATGACACCATTCCCAAATCACAGAGATGGTTTTATGAAGATCAGTATGGTATGGACTAAACCGACCAGAGTCACATCAGCATCAACACGAGGGAATCAGAAAGGATAATATCATCATTGTCGCGTGCATTAGTCTGTTCTCACACTGCTATGAAGACACATCCGAGACTGAGCAACTTATGAAGAAAAAAGGTTTAATTGACCCATAGTTCCACATGGGTGGGAGGCCTCTGGAAACTTACAATTGTGGCAGAATGCAAACGGGAAGCAAGGTACGTCTTTCATGGCAGCAGGAGAAAGAGCCACAGGGGAAACCACCATTTATAAACCATCAGTTCTCGCGAGCCCTCCCTCACTATCACGAGAACAGCATGGGGGAACCGTCCTCATGATCCTCCCAATAGCCCCCAATCACCTCCCACCAGGACCCTCCCTCCACCACGTGGGGATTACAATTCAAGATGAGATTTGGGTGGGGACACAGAGTCAACCCATGTCGTCTTCATTCTCCCCCCTGGCACTTGAAGGGAAAAAAAGAATCACATGAGCTTGACTATTCAAAAAAGAAGCAGGAGCTCCAGTTATTTCAGTTCATGGGAATGGAAAAGGGATAAACCGAAACAATAAACTTGAATGCTTAGGAACATAAAGGCAAGGAGAAACGAGATCACAATCTTGGCCTCTGAGTTCTACAACCCTATGGTTGTTTTAAACAAATTAAAGCAGATTGCTTTCTTTCTGGAGTTCTAGTGAAACGGATCTTGCCACCAGCAGACCCTTCCAAGCTCCTGGCCGCAGTTTATTGGCTCATTGCCACGTGTCATTAGTGACCTATTTTCGCTGCTGTGAAATCGGCCGTGTCTGAAGTCCCCTGAATCAGCAGTTTCTCCCTCCACTCACCGGCTCCAGGCTGGCAAAGCTGACACCAGTGTCACAGAAAATGCAACCCGCTGCCCTCTCCCCAAAATGTGGGGAGAGCACGGTTTTGCTATGAAGATGTCGGCTTTGACCTGAGGCTGACTTGAGAGCCCAGCTGTCATGTCTCTTCCAAATAAGCTGCTGAACATGGAATTATCTTGGCTGAATAATTAATCAGGACTAAAAATAACCCCAAACTGCCTGGGCTTTGCTTAAATCCTACACAGGTGAGAGAAGTAGTTTTTTGTTTTGTTTAACGTAATTGCAAAACCCATATTTTGAAAGGCTCTGCACCAAAATATGAAAATAATTACCCAACATGCCAATTTGGGAGGTAATTCACAGTTAATCTGGCTCTCTTAAAAAAAAATGCCACCTTTTGAATTGCACATTGACTTCAGATTGTCAGTTCTTCGTGGTTATGAAAAGCAACCGAGAGTTGTACTCAGAATTTTCTAAGAATACCTTCAAACACAAATCCATGGGGAAAAAATATATCCGTTGGTATAAAGAGCTACGAAAGAGAGCCTGTTACTAGGCAGATTAGACAGTGAGTCAAGTTCCACAAGAGGGCGCTCTCCCTATGCTTCCTTCTCGAAGCTGAGGGCGCTGCGTTTCGCCCCGGCCTTGGCTGCCCTTTCCTTTGCCCTTGTGCAAAGGATGTGCTCCCAAGAGCGAATGCTCACTGTCCTGTGGAATGCTACTCCTGTGACCACTTTGTGATTGAGATTATCAGGCAAATGTTATCTCTGTAACATCAGAGGAGCAACTTCAAATGAAGAGAAATCAAGCAAAACATTAAAAATACAGAGGAAAGAAACAAATAAATACATCTAAACTGCCTGCTCTCCATGGTGATCTAGCTTTGTGTGTTCATTTTCTTGATACTGCTGTGATAAAAATAGGATGTGATGAAATGAATTACATCCATCACAGCAATCTTGTGTACAGACCGAATCTCAGACCCAGATGTGGCTCCAACTAACCAGTGACCATGAGCAGGGCCCAGGTGTATTCTGGGAGGCTGCTCACCCTCCGTGCCATTTCTTTCCTTCCCATAGGCACAGCCTCACCTTACGTTGAAGACAGATTCTACGAATCTGCCTCTCATCCTAGATGGCCACTAGGCAACTCCACTGGGACCATTTCTTCCTGCTCTATGCTCCCGTGACCTTCATTCATACTCCCTCTTCCTCTGCTGGAAATCTACTTCTTTTACCTCCTCAAAGGTAAAAGGACCAGCTGGTGAACAAAAGAATAAATTTGCTCTATCTAAAGAGAAACATTAGAACAATGGAGGAAAAATTGATGCAAGGCAGATGACTTGGGCTCATCATAAAGCACTGAGCAGTCAGCAGAACATTAAGAACAGACTTCTATTCCCTACCACAGACATACCCATCTGCATACCTGAATGCTGAGACCAAGCCTCACCAGACGCCAGCGGCATAAATGAGAGGAGTCACTTACCCTCTGAGGCTCAGGCTTCTCAACTGGAAAAAAAAGATAATAAAAATATCAGCTCAGTTGGGCGTAGTGGCTCATGTCTGTAATCCCAGCACTTTGGGAGGCCAAGGGGGGTGGATCACCTGAGGTCAGGATTTCGAGACCAACCTGGCCAACATGGTGAAACCCCATTTCTACTAAAAATACAAAAATTAGCTGGGCATGGTGATGCATACCTATAGTCCTAGCTACTCAAGAGGCTGAGGCAGGAGAATTGCTTGAGCCCAGGAGGCGGAGGTTGCAGTGAGCTGAGATCACTCCACTGCACTCCAGCCTGGGTAACAAAGCAAAGCTCCCTCAAAAAAAAAAAAAAAAAAAAGCCTAATGAATTGTCAGTCTCAGGTCAGTGGGTAGCCAGTGGGTGACCTGGTAATGTAATCATTCTATGAAAGAGACGGTCCATAGAATACAACGAATGTGTGATCTTGTTATTCATTTTCTGTGATGTGGGTTGAATAAGAGTCACAAAGAATAAGAGAAGAGCTGTGGTTTTTGGTACAGAAATAAACACTGTTCATCTTGAAACTCTCACCTCGTCCCTGGAAGTATCCAATAGAATTTATTGATGCATATTTCCTACCCAGTGTAGTCAGTTAATGTGTAATAAAAATGCTGAAGTCCACAGCTTAAATTATTAAAATTCTAGCAGGTATACCAGGTCCTGCTTGGAAATGCATGCAAATCTGTTCATTTGAATAGTTGATTTAATATCATTAGTTCCACCCTATATCCTCTGGTTAGATCTCAGCTCTAATGAAGCCTCAGGAGCTGATGGTATTCCCTTATAGTCTTGGTAGTTTTAGAGAGAAAACTCTCCCCACAACCACAAAAGTCTTCTCCTAAGTCCTTAACCTAGATATGTCACAAGGAGCATGAAGCATCATCACTCCTGGGACAATGACCCTAAATCCTTGTCCCACTGAGATAGTAGCCCTATGTTCCTGTCAATAGGAAACCCTTAGTCATTTGTTGTGGACCAAGAGGAGGCTGTGGCCAAAGGAGGTTAGGAGGAAAACCTGGTTTGGCAAAAATGATGCAGAACAGGGACTTGCCAGACAGTAAGGGTAAAAAGAAAATGACTTCTAACTGGTTATGTGGCTGAAAGTCAAGGTGCAGTTGCACCTTGTGGCCTTTGGCTCTCCAGAGGCAGGAAAGAGGATAAAAAGGTAGTGGAAATACCTAGAAGATGAGACCTGAGACCAGCAGAGGCAGAGAGGTCTTTCTGGCTTTCTTTGAGAGAGTAGCATTCCTCATTTCTCAACTCTGTGCTCCCTATGACTTCTGTTTAACTTCTGTCAAAGTACTTGTCACCCCACATTACTCTTTCCTATTTGTCTATGTTCCTCAGTAAACTTCAAGCTCCACGTGAGCCAGAACCAGGTTTGGTTTGTCCATAATGGTGAATAAACTTGTATCCCCCAAACTGATTACAGCCTAGGTTCATAGTAGATGCTTAATAAAAATGTCTTAAATGAGTAAATGAATGCTGTATGCAAAGGTTAGCCCTGAAGGAGAAATGAGCAACATATTCTAATGGAGATGTATGTGGCACAGAACTTGGAGATCAAAGTCAACCTCTTGGGTGGACTTCAGGGATGGGTTTTAAACAAAGAGGCAGGAAGATCCATAGCATTACTTGGGGGATGAATAAGACTCTAGAAATGAGTTGGCCCAGAAATTTGGGGTACAAGCAATACTCACGTTGTTTGATAGGAGTTACAGAGTATTTTCTTCTATTTACTACTTTCTTAAATTTAATTATGTGATAAAAAGTGATCACTGCGTGTATTAGTCTGTTTTCATACTGCTATAAAGAAGTACCTGAGACTGGGTAATTTATAAAGAAAAAGGTTTAATTGATTCACCGTTCCACATGGCTGGGGAGGCCTCAGGAAACTTACAATTATGGCAGAAAGTGAAGGGAAAGCAAGGCATATCTTATATGGCAGAAGTTAAGAGAGAGAGTGGGGGAAAATACCACTTTTAAACCATCAGATATGAGAAGTCCTTCACTATCATGAGTACAGCAAAGGGGAGATGGCCCCCATGATCCAATCACCTTCTGCCAGGTTCCTCCCCCAACACATGGGGATTACAATTTGAGATGTGATTTGGGTGGGAACAGAATGGAACCATAGCACTGTGTATTTCAAATACTTCAGAGATGATGGGCACATAAGGGAAAAAGAATAGAGGGGGGACAATTTCCCTCAGGTGTCTGGAAGAACTTTCACAAAAACTAACTCATAGGTTGTTCTACAACAGGACGGATAGCTCTTAACACCTAGTAAATAACTTCTCTATCTGAAGTCTGCTTCTCTTTCTCTGATGTTGTTGATTTGTAAAGGGGTTTTGCTCCATCCCCCATTCTCCTTGATTAAGCTCATCTTTGAACACCAGGAGGCTGGTCTGCTCACCCCTACACAGGTGTCCTTTCTACTTTTTTTTGGGGGGGGGACAAAGTCTCGGCTCACTGCAACCTCACTTCCTGAGTTCAAGTGATTCTCCCACTTCCGCCTCCCCAGTAGCTGGAATTACAGGTGCACGCCACCGTGTCTGGCTAATTTTTTGTATTTTTAGTAGAAACGGGGTTTCGCCATTTTGGCCAGGTTGGTCTTGAACTCCTGACCTCAGGTCACCCACCTGCCTCGGCCTCCCAAAGTGCTGGGATTACAGGCGTGAGCCACCACGCCCAGCCCAGGTATCCTTTCTTAGATGGACTTTACATCAGTCCCACTATCAGGCCCCAAACTAAGTTCAGTGTCTTAAGATTTGAAAGTCAATATGTCTATTAGTACTACTTAAGGGGAATAATTGTGTGCTGCTTTTGGCTTCAGTAAGTACTGTAGGCATATCACAGCAAAGGTTTTAGAGGCTTAGAGAGAAATCGAGATAATTGCGCAAAGGTGGTGACTTAAAACCAGCTTTACAATCTATGTTATTCTCTTCACTGGAGAGAATCCTGTAAAAGGGGGCAGTTAGGAGAGAAGCAGATAGCCTATGTTCTTGAACCTGTGAGCACTCACTGGGATATGGTTTAGAGAGTAGAAAACTGGACTACCCATCTGGACACCCAGCTGCTGTCAACTTCAGCAAAGCAAAGTTTGGCTTCCCAGCAAGCTAGAGAGGCCTTTTCACCCTTGCGCTTGATATTCCCTTAACACAGAATGCTCTGTCCCAGACCTGTCTATGGCTGGCTCCTCCTTCTTCCCGGGTCTCAGCTGAAATGCAACTTCCCCAGAGAGGCCTTCCCAGATAGTCCCCTCCCTGGTCATTCTCTATCATGTCGTTGTATTTCACTCATGGCACTCATCACCATCCAAAGCTGTCTTTCCATGTACTTGTTTATTTGAATATTCATTATGTCCTTTTGCTCCACAGATAGATAAGATCCATAAAAGCAGGGACCCTGTCTCTCTTGTTCACTGTTTTATTACAAGCACTTCAAATAGTGTCTGACACATAGTAGGACCTCTATCGCTGTGTACTGGATGTATGAATAAATGAACAAATGAATGAGTAGCCCGAATATGGGGCTCAAGATGGCAGTGAGAAAAGTGCTGTCCCATCATGAATAGTGTAGGTTTTATCTCTTGAAGAGGATATGAGCATTTTCTAAAGGAAAGGAGATAGGGAACAAGGAAGATATCTGTATCATTGGAAAAGATCTTTTATTTCCATATTGAAGCACTAACACGTCCTCCCCCACATGCATTTCTGCATGTGGGTGACATGCCAGAAGGCAGGCAGGGAGGGGCAGGCATTAAAGAACTAAACTCACCAAGTTATCACTGTGGTTTTAAAGTCGGGTGATTAAAAAGAACAAATGTTGGTGAGGAGGTGGAGAAAAGGAAACCCTAGTGTGCTGTTGGTAGGAATGTAAATTGGTATAGCCCTTATGGAAAATAGGATGGAGGTTTCTCAAAAACCTAAAAATAGAACTACCATATGACCAGGAAATGAAATTGGTAACTCAAAGAGATATTTGGACTCCCATGTTCATTGCAGCACTATCTACAATAGCCAAGATATGGAATCAACCTAAGTGTCCAAAACAGATGAATGGATAAAGAAAATGTAGTATTTATACACAGTGGAATTTGATTTAGCTTTTAAAAAGAAGGAAACCCTGTCATTTGTGACAACATGGATGGACCTGGAAGACATTATTTAAATGAAACAAGCCAGACACAAAAAGAAAAATACTGTATAATTTCACTTATATGTGGAATCTAAAATAGTCACACTCACAGAAGCAGAGACATAGTGGTTACCATGGGCTGGGGGGAGGGAGACATGGGGAGGTGTTGGTCAAAGGGTATAAAATTTCACTTATGAAAGATGAATAAGTTCTGGAGATCTACTGTGCAATGTAGTGCCTACAGCTAACAATATGATATTGTATACTTGAAATTTTCTAAGACAGTAGATCTTATATTGAGTGTTCTTACCACAATATAATAATAATAACAAATGCATGGAAGGGAACTTTGAGAGGTGATTGTTTATATCTACAGGCTTGATGGTTTTATGAGTAGACACTTATCCCCAGACTCACTGAGTTGTTTACATTAAATATGTACATGTTTTACATGTTAATCATACCACAATAAAATGATAATAGAGTAGATAGATAGATACACAGATAGATAGATAAAGTGGGGTGTTTACACACAGCTCACAAAAGGCAGAGAATGGCTTTGTTTTACCATTTGAGTGCAGTGAGAGAATATAATTAAAGTGACCAAAAATCCCTGGGAATTTATTTAATTCTTTTGAACAATGACCATCCATGGGAAGGGAAGTCCCATCCATATCAGGCAAGGGGACACCAGCAAGCTTAATCATCTTGCATTTAAACACTTTCCATCTATCCTTAGCGCTCAACACACAATACAAAGACAGCCTTCCACACTGGGACCCTCTCCACCCACAGCAGACGCCCTCTGACCTGCTTTCCAAGCAGTGGTGGTGGCCTGCCTCTGTTCTGATGCACCCCTGCCATGGCCCAGTTCTCTCTCAGTACGTTTGTCTGGCAGAAGGATTAAGGGTGTCCATCATGGCTGCTAAACAGTACAAAGCTAATGCCCTATTATAAAATTACTTTCACATATATAGGATGCAATGGTTCTAATGAGGGGAAAGGCATGCTAAGAACAATTACCCCACCTTAAATTAGCTTAGTACTTTATACGGTTGACAAAGCT